AACATGCCCCCTCACTGAGATCATACTGGAGCTGATTGCTTTCCTTGACAGGCACAGGAAGGGGGGGGAGTAAAGTGTACAGCTTGTCTGCCCCCAGGGCTCCCCAGCCAGAGTGAGGAATGCAGCAATCTGTGCACTTCCCTTCACTCCCTGATGAAGGGGAACAGCTAGCAGTGTCTCTGTACAAATTGTGAGGGGCTTCAGCCCCCCCTACCCTCGCAAAAGGGAACTTGCAGGGTGGGAGGGTTGGGGCTGGAGCAGACAGTCCTGGATGGGGGGGAGGAGGGATGCATCCACAGCAAGCCCCTTTTACCTCCCTGGTGATGGTCTCTTTTCTGTACAGTTTTATGGGTGGCAATATCCTTCTAGGCACATCCCATTTTACTGGCACAACCAAACACTTACCTTGTTTTAAGTTATGATAAGAGGAAGCAGTAGATTGCATTTGGTAGTCCTAACTCTTACCATTTAGGAGGAGTTCTTGAACAGACTCATGCACAGACAAATTCTCTCAAATGTACGGAAGAGAGATATTGGTAAGAGTGTGGTGGTCTCTTCTGCCCGGATTGCCACCTATGGTCACCTGTAGCCAGGGGTGGAGGAAAGTGTTGCAGGACCCAGGGCAGCAAAATTTCACGCTCTTTCCTCCCCCTCCCCCCTTGACATGGCGCATGCACTGTGGTGCCACGACGTATGCACGGGGCCTCGGGAAGCACGGAGCCTGGGGCAGACACCCCGCTCGCCCTGCCCTAAATCCGCCGCTGCCTGTTTGGCAGTTTGGAACAGGCAGCTCAGCTGGGAGTCAGCTGTTATGCAGGGTTCCATTCTGTCTTCCTGGTCATTGGTCAGCTAGGGAAGAAATTGGTGTCACATTGAGACAGTTGGCTGTGCAGAATCTTGTTTTCCCTGGTATGAGCCCCTGGTGTATTGGTAGGACAAAGCCTTTCAGGCCTACCAATTGAGTCTCAAATATTGACTCAGCATCACAAACACCATTTGCAAACCAAGTTTAGAATCAGAGGGGTAGCCGTGTTAGTCTGAATCTGCAAAAGCGACGAGGAGTCCTGTGGCACCTTATAGACTAACTGAAGTGTAGGAGCATAAGCTTTCGTGGGCAAAGACCCACTTCGTCAGATGACATGCATCTGACGAAGTGGGTCTTTGCCCACGAAAGCTTATGCTCCTACACTTCAGTTAGTCTATAAGGTGCCACAGGACTCCTCGTCGCTTTTGCAGATCCTCAAAGGCATTTAAGTGCCTAACATCCACTGAAAACCATAGGAGTTAGGCACCTACATTTCTTGGAGCATCTTAGAATACAGCACTGTCTCTTAGCCTTCTATGCTTAGACAGCCTTCTGTTTTTAAATGGCCCTTCTTTGTGCCAGAAGTCACATTGCCTAACCATGACAGGGACTAGTTAAGATGCTGGAAGGGTACTCAGGCAGCAGCTCCCCAACAGTTCTGAAGTGGGCTGGAGTTCCTAGCAAAACTGATGTAACTGATGAAATGTTGGCCACAATCTCAAAAGCCACCTGTGAGTGATTAGTAGGGACAGGCTTGGAGTAACTTTTGGTCTTTAGGAAGAATCCGTGGAAAGTTTGTAATACTATTGATCAGCTTATATAACTTTTGTAACAAAAGGTTAATCTTTTTTTTTAATGACCGTAAATGTTTCTGGTTTCCTAAATCAGGGGAGCTACTCTATTGTCACAAGTTCTAAAATCTGGCTTTACACTATACATGGCACAGGGACATGGGTGTGGTCTTGGGGCAGCTCCCAGTCCCGGGGAGAGCCAGACATCCTGACCATGGCCTCTGTACAAGCACAGCGGCTCTGACGGTGCAGGACATGGTCACCCTCACGTTGTGGAGTGGGGGAGGGGGCTGGGCATCATCCTCTGCGTCCCCAGGGAGAACTGACCACTTCTCTTCTTTCTCTACAGCTGCACCAGCTGCTCGTGCAGGGCGCACCACCCCAGCCGGGACATGCTCCCGCACCCGTGGCAGCACACTAGCAACCTGGTTACCACACTAGTCAATGGGCAATTATGCCTCACAGAGATCAAGAAAAGTTTCAACCAATTAATGAATATGGTGAGAATTTGTGTCATTTTACAGAGCTCCACTCCCATCTTGCTCAGCATCAAAGTAATAGAAGAAAATCTTACTAATATATCTGGTAATGGGAGAATAATTCTTTAAAGAACATGGCTGCATTGCAATTGAAAAAGGAAAATAAAGATCTCTGGTCAATGGGAAAATAAAAACCATTCAGGACTGAGTTAGATAAAAAGGGATTCTAACCTCAGTCTTGGAGGGAATTAACTCATACACTAAGTTTCCTGGCACTGGAAAGTTGTGCATATATTTCCTGTTCATGGATATGTTGAGCTTCTGGAAGAAATCAATAGTACTTTTTGTTCCTTAGGGATTGCTGTGAATTAGAAAATGACAGATTTAACACAGTCCTTTAAAAAACCAACCAAGGGACAGACCAGGAAACTGTGCTCCTTCATTGTTCCAGCATTTCACTTATGGGCTACCTCTAGACTGCAGGCTTCTTGCGCAAAAAGGCTTTATCGGAAGACATTGTCCGCAAAAACTTTTTTGTGCAAGAGCGCATCCACACTGCAAAAGCACATCAAAAAAGTGATGCACTCTTTGCAAAAGAGCATCTAGACTGCATGGACACTGTCTTGAAAGTAAGCACTGATTGGTATGCATAGAATTTGCACCTGCACTTTTTCCTGTTTCCTCTTTTTGCACAAAAACTCCCTTATCCAAGTCCACACATGCTTTTTGGTGAAAACCTTCACAAAAAGGCTTCTTCCTTAAAAGAGGAATACCAATTGTGCAAAAACCCCTCTGCTCTTTTGATTCTTGAGCACCTCCAGTGAGTTTTTGCGCAAAACTCTAGGACATAGCCATGGGGAGGATGATTTTTCCAATTTTTGTATCTGAAGTCTTGTGACATAGCATAAATACTCTCCAACCTGCTGTCATTGGACACATTGGTGTTATCCTTCCTTCCCACCTGACTGGTATGAAATACTTCTCAGACTGATGGTGTTATCCCTTGTTTTCATTATCCTTGGCCCAGTTACCATAATTGCCTCTCCATAAGTTATAAACTGTTCCATGGCAGCTGGAACATATCCATGATTTATCACTTCTAACAAATGATTATTACAAATGATCTTGGTACCTTACTGGGGAAACTTCACAGTAGGACATTGTTGCTAATAGATTCCCTTGAGCATTTGCAGTCTGTGTCCCTTGTTAACTGGATCTTATCGGTCCCATGCACATAAACATCTCATCTATAATTTCTTTGAATGTGAACCTCTTTTATTGACTAAGCAATCTCCTGAGTCTTCAATAAAAACACAAGGCAATGTGTGTGGGGTTTTGGTTATGGTGGTGTGGTGTGGGTGGGTGTGTGGGGGGGGGAGGGGTTGTTATAACTTCACTACAGAAGTCTCTACGGATTGCACCTCTATAAACTGGGACTCTTGTCTGGCAACATTGGTGATCCGGCAGGGCCATGGATGTTTCAGGATCAGAGTCCAGGCATGTTGTGGGGATGGGGAGCCCTGGAGGGACCTGGCTTGCTGCAGGAGGTGAGGGGGGGTCCCTCAGGAGCCTGGTGCGCTGTCCAGCTGGGCTGCACAGGAAGCTGCCAAGGGAAGAGGGTGAGGGAGCCAGGAAGCCTAGTGCACAGCTCAGCTGGGATGGGAGCTGGGGAGCCCAGCACGCAGCTCAGCTGGGATGGAGGGCTGAGCAGGCAAGCCAGGTGGAGTGGCAGGACAGGAGATGGGACCAGGAGGAGGGGGGCCAGAAATGACATCCTGTGGTCCAGCAAAATCTCTCATGTGGGACCAGGTCCCGAGGGTTCAGGACCAGGAAGGTACCACCTGTATTAATAATGATGTAATTTAGTCATATGCAAATGTAATTTATTTTGGAATGGCATGAACTTCTAGGCTGCTGCCTCTGCAATCCAGAGTTCCTTTCTCTAGCTTGCTCATCTAGGTCCCCTTCCAACTCTAGACCACCTTTGCTTGTAGGTCTTTCAGACTTGGAATAGGATTTTTAAGAATCACACTGTTGTTGGCCAACTCTGAGCGCCTTGAAATCAATGGGGAATTTTACCATTGATTTCAGTGGGAGTAGAGTTAGATCCGTTCAGTGTATTTGAAAATCCTATCCTTGATATCTCCTGCAAAGATTATACAGTAAAACTCCATTGGTCCGGTATCTGATGGTCCGGCACCATCAGGAACCCAGAAGTGCTCCGGGCAGCCGGACCATTGGAGCTACTCTGCCCCGGTTTCCCCGATTCAGCCACTGCTGAAACTGACCAGCGGCTGACTCCGGGAAGCCTGGGGCAGAGCAGCTGGGGTGCTGCCGGGTTGGTCCAGTAGCACCGCCCCTTGGCGCTGTGGGACCAACCCGGCAACACCCTAGCTGCTCTGCTGCAGGTGTCCTGATTCAGCTGCTGCTGAAACTGACCAGCAGCGGCTGAATCAGGGACTCCTGGGGCAGAGCCAGACTATCGGAAGGGGGGGCTATGAGGGGTCTGGGGTGGCATCCCCCCACACCACCCTAGATACCTCATAGCCCCCCTTCCAATAGTCCGGCATATTTGATAATCCGGCACCCGCTGGGTCCTAAAGGTGCCGGATTATCGGAAGTTTACTGTACTAGTGAGGGTCCCTTAATCCATGGAGCTATCCTTTTCACATGGCTTGGAAGGAAGATTTCTAAGTGAGAAAATGAGCCTTGCCTTGAGTCTCTGTCCAAGTGCAGGAGACAAGGTTGCACATCAAGGCTTCTGGGGAGGAGTTCTGGTTCTGGGTGGTACTCAGTTTTGTCACACCAAAGGGACTGAGGAAGATGACAATACAATGTGAGCTAGGTGGGAGATGAAGCAAGTATTTAAGCATTTCTAAGATGATGGGAGGATGTATTGGTGTGAGATTCTGGTTTTGAGAGTGGGGTGGGAACAGAGTGAGCATCTTGGAGGGAGGGGAATCTAACTAGCGGGGCTTGAATGGGTGGCTGGAAGGGGGGTAGTGTGGTGAGAGTCTAACTAGCTGGAGATGGGAAGAGTATATATCTTGCACAGCAAATATAATATGAATTAACCACATCATCATGACAGGGCCAAATCTACACAACATGCAAGGCCTAACCATTTGTATCCTGCTTCTGGCTTGTTTGAGCTGGCTTTTAAAGCACGGAGCACAGTGAGATCAGGGCTCACAAGCTATGTAAAGGTCTATTAACCTATTGCTAAGCATGACAGAAGTGGGAATGGTTATTCTGTAACTACCACCTTCTTAAAATGAGGAGAATCAGGTTTCTTTCTTTTACAAACAAAGAAATCATTTGGGGCTTGTGTTAACATTGCTAAAGGCCTGTGCTTCATATAATCCTATGTGGAGCTGAAGGATGAGATTACCCTCTTAATGAATTGTATCTGCCATTGTTACCTCATGAACTGTGGCCTAAGTCTTATGAATGGGATTTGGATTGATTTGTTACTAACCTGTTAAGAATTGCCTTTGAAGAATCTGTTATGGTAATTTTTTTTAACAAACCCCATTTTAAACTGTTAATGTTTTTTTTTTTTTTTGTAACAAACCCCATTTTAAACTGTTAATGCATTGTAATTAAAGTGACTCCGTATTGTAACTGAAATTCCATTTCAAACTTTGCAATGCCTTCATTCTGTCTAAATTGGGTGTGTATGTAGAAGTGTGACTGGGTATGTGTGGCTTGAGGGACTGATCCCTTTACATACCCTGTTTGGGTGACCAGTTGTCAGCACCACCTTGATGGCCAAAGAACGAGGCAAGTGAGCCCTGCAAAAGAATCTACTCAGACACAAGCCCCATCAAGAAAAGATCAAAATCTGCTTGTTAACAGATGACCCATGGTCATACAGTGCCCTGGAGAAAAGGGACTAGATGTGATCCATGAACTCTAAAACACAAAAAATGAGTGCAAAATTACAGAATTAGGTACTAAAACATAAAAAAAATGAGTGCAAAATTACAGAATTAGGTCTTTTGGTTCTACAACCATCCTCCAGGAGAATCTGTGTACCAACACGACCCGGTTCCCCTCCTCATGTCTAGACCACCTGGCTAGTGGACTAGCATACAACGGTGTGTACCAACACGACTCGGTTCCCCTCCTCATGTCTAAACCACCTGGCTAGTGGACTAGCATACAACTAAAGCCGATACACACAGTTCTCCAGATGGAATGTAATTATGTGTGGTAGACAACTTTAGTAGCTGAGGACAGTAAGGATGTATCTACACTGTACCGTAGCTTGAAATAAGATACACAGTGTGTGTAACTCAAAGTGTGTATCTTATTTCGAAATTGCCAAATTACAAAATAAGCTCAGTTTACACCATGCCAAACTTCAAAATAACCCGCTGTTCCAAAATGTCCCTTACTCCTCATAGAATGAGGTTTATGGGGATATCAGAATAGTGAGCCTGAAATAACAGGCTTGCTGTTAAGACATGGGATAGCTATTTCGGGATACTCCAGTACCCTGAAATAGCATTGCAGTGTAGATGTAACCTAAACTAATTCTGCCTTCACAATAAACGTTTAAATAAATATTGTTTTATTCCCCCAATTAAAATTCTGCTAGTTCTGTTTGAGTATTAACACACAGGCTTTCTCATAAATAAATGATTGTAATATGGATTTTCAAGATCTAGCCTGGGACTGTATTTATAACTTTCTAGTTTCAGTTACTTTATCCATGGTCACTTGCTTTCCTCTCTTTTCATGTATCTCTGTATAGCTGATCATAGGTGCTTGTAGCTAGGCTTTTGGCATGATGGCCTCCCATGATACATTCTTACTCCAGATTTAGTCTAGAATAGGTATTAACTCAACTTGAGTATGGAAGACCAGCAGCATCCAGGGCTTTTTCTGGGAAGGATGCTCATCAATGACTTAAAATATATTTATTGTGTTTCCAAAAAGTTGACAAAAGATTGTGGTGATAAAACTATTGGATGGACTATATTTTTATTGGACAAGGAAAATAGATTCCATCATTT